GAGCATGGTTAAATTGGTTATTTTTAAATTTAGTACAGTATATATAATAGCAAGTACCGAAAATATCCCTAATAGAATTGATACAGCATAGCTTTATCTAGCATGGACTTCCCTACTCCAACGGAAAATAAGAAAAAAACTAGGAGTGTTTTTTTTTTTTTTTTGAAATGACATTTCTTTCTTTCTTCAAACAATTTTCACGCTTTGAGCTTACGCATGTTTCGCGGAATCAATTCGATCAAATTTTCTTTTTGTTTTGTTAATTTGAATTTATAACGTATACACTGTAGCTTCGTCAATAAATAAGAAAGAATTATTGAAAAAATCGTTTGAACAAAGTAACTATAAACATTTTTTATAAATATTTTTTTTTGCTATCCCCTGCCAGCCGCAATGATGGAGAAAGCACGCACCATCGACAGTGAGACATGCCGCAAGAGGCAACCCATTTTGCGGGGCTCGTCCCTTAATCGAGACGTCATCGCGCCAATCCCCCGAAAGAACGGCATCGAACACCAGAAGTCTCCACTGTCACAGGAATGGAAAAAAAATCTATCGCCAAGAGAAGAATATTTAACTATTTCTTTTTATGTCGAGTCCCCCGGCTCAACCGCGGACCTGATCAAATTACAGGTCGAAAATTGATGTAATGAATACGCATACACCTGGGTTCGCCCTCACATTAATATGATTGGCTGGTGTCAGCCATAAATACAGACTGGTGTGGAGGTACATGAAGACGCCTATTGCCTACGCCTATTGTCTACCACTACGACGAGGACCAGTCCATTATGGTTACCTGCTAGATTGTCCTACCTGGTTACAGTAGTCCAAAACCACTTTGCTACTTCGAACAAATATATCTCTTTTCGGGACATATCACTACCTTACTGGAACATTGATGTAATGAATATGCATACACCTAGTTCCCCCTCATAATAATATGTTTGGCTGGCGTCAGCTATAAATACCGACTGATGTGGAGCTGCAAGGGACGCCTATTGACGACGCCTATTGACGACGCGTATAGTCTTCGCCTAGTTTGTCCTACTCGGTTCCAAAACCACTTTGCTACTTCGAACAAATATATCCATTTCTGGGATATGCAAAAAGTTTATACGCACAAGTCGCATCCCAAATCAACGGCTTCCCATTTCAAAAGGGACAATGGTAATCCCATCAGACCGCTTTCCATCACCTCGGTCGAGGCCTACGGATGCGATTTGGGAAGAGAACCCAACGGCATCCAAACCTCTGATGATGATGTCGTTTATTGCTGCCTGCCGTGGAAAGCGACCGGCACTAAGACGACAAGAGAGACGATGAAAAACAAACTCATCAATGGAAGCTCTATATCTGCATCTGTGATGCTGGCATAATTTGAACCCAAGACGGATCCCGACTCCGACTCGAGTGCACTCATCATCTAGAAGGGTACCGGGAGATGAAGAGGGTACTGCGTTGAGCCAGGCGCCACTAGTCGGTTGTGAAGCAGATAGACGGAGCGATGCTGATCCAGAGAAAGAGAGAGAGAAAAAAAAAGAGACAGAACGAGAGAGAAAGAGAGAGAGAGAGAAAAAGAAAGAGAGAAAGAGAGAGAGAGAAAGAGAGAGAAAAAGAGAGAAAAGAGAGAGAAAAAAGAGAGAGAAAGAGAGAGAAAAGAGAGAGAAAAAGAGAGAGATAAAGAGAGAGAGAGAAAGAGAGAGAAAAAAGAGAGAGATAAAGAGAGAGAGAGAAAGAGAGAGAGAAAGAGAGAGCGAAAGAGAGAGAGAAAAGAGAGAGAGAATGAGAGAGAGAGAAAGAGAGAGAGAAAAAGAGAGAGAGAAAGAGAGAGAAAGAGAGAGAGAGAGAGAAAGAGAGAGCGAAAGAGAGAGAGAAAGAGAGAGAGAGAGAAAAAGAGAGAGAGAAAGAGAGAGAGAGAGAGAACCTCAAATAAGTAAAATTGGCCTCGCATTTTATTTTATCCCAGCTTTTTTGTTTTGCTGTGTCTAGTGGGATAGAAAGTAATTCTTGGGCCCAGACGCTGCAAGCTGTTCGAAAGAACTACCCGAGAAACACTGAGTCGATCCACCGAGTATCACATCAATTAATCCACGACTGGACAAAAGTGAAGAAAGATATGCTGGAAGGGCCAAATCTACCGCTGATCGAAGGCCCAAAACTTATTAAATAAGCATAAGCAATTATCCAAATTAAATTTCCTGAAAAACAGAAGTTTAAAAATCAGTTACATATCACCCAAATAGTTCAAATATACACATCGAAATCATGCCCGGATATGCGAGATTCTTGATATGAGGTACTCCAGATATAAGGGATTCCGGATTTGAGGAATTTTACTGTATTAAAATTTTAAAAAAATTAAATTTAAAATTCTCAGCGTCCTCAAAAAACATCTCTTCGTGCGCATGCGTAGTCACATCAACCTAAACATAAATTTAGCCCGATCCTAGTGGACAAAGCATGTCAGACGAAAACATTATTTTTCAATTTTGAAATACTTCTTCCCCTATTTTTAAAAAAATAATATTTGTTATTATTTAATTCATCTCTGAGAAGCTAAAAATAAGAGAGATAGTATTCAGAACGACATCTCTTCCGTGTGATAATGTCAAGCTAATCCCAAATCAACGACTTCCCCATTAGTCACTGTTTCATTTATTTCTCAAGAGTGATCAAGGATTGCAAAAGTTTTCCGAAATATATCTGTTTTAACAATAAATCATCCGTTGGAATTACAAGGTTTTATTCTTTTTAATTCAACTTCACCAATGGAATCAAACGTTTTTATTTGTTATTGTTTAATTCATCCCCGTGTCTATAGTTAAGGATATCATGGACCGAGTGTGTAAGCAACGATGAGTTTTTAGAGGGAATGCAAAACAAGGAGGAAGCTTTTACTTAACATCAGGAAGAGGCAGCTGAAATATCTGGGACACGTAATGAGAAAGGAAGGATTGGAAAATCTGATACTCACAGGGCGGATTGAGGGTAAGATGGACAATTCAAAGCAACTTCGCCAATGGAATCAAGCGTTTTTATTTGTTATTGTTTAATTCATCCCCGTGTCTATAGTTAAGGATATCATGGACCGAGTGTGTGAGCAACGATGAGGTCTTAGAGGGAATGCAAAACAAGGAGGAAGCTTATAATTAACATCAGGAAGAGGTAGCTGAAATTTCTTGGACAGATATAGAGGAAGGAGGGCCTGGAGAGTCTGATACTCACGGGTCAAATAGAGGAAAGGTGGACAAGGGAAAGCAATGAACGACACACCTATCGGGCATAAGCAAGTGGATAACAAAACGTTAGAATTACAAGGTTTTATTCTTTTTAATTCCACTTCGCCAATGGAAGTAAGCGTTTTTACAATTAGTATATAATTTGTTTGATTTTTTTTTTTACTGGGATCATATTAATGTATATTTGGACAGTAACCTTACTTTTAAGTAGTTTTCGTTAAATAAACATTAAAGGAAAATTTACTTAATTTTTAAGGAAATTTTACTTATTTTTTTTTATTTAGTTCTTCCAGTGTTAAGATTTTCTGTTTGGTGAGTGTCAGGGGTTAAAAAAATGCCCATAAAATCCATTGTCTCAAGCGCTTTTCGCCCATTCTTTAACCATTTTAAAGGTGAGTGTCGTTTTACGTGTTTTAAATTTCTCTACATGTTTTGGCAGTTTGAGATGTATTTTATTTTGGTGTGTGTTTTGAATAAAAGTACGGGCGTTAATTCCTAACCTTTGGGAGTTGACAGCGACGGAGAATCGAGTTAGCGTTTTTTTTTTATTTTAAAAGAAATTCAACACTACATTCCCACTGTTAAAGAACGTGACATTGAATTCCAAGGTCTCAACAATTCACAGTTGATTTGCCTAGATGTAACCGTAAGTTCTATGCTATACTCCCGTTAATATCCAAGGCTATAGAACCCGGTCTGTCTTGCTATTTACCCATAGCTGTGGTGAGGGAGAAGAAGAGGATTCATACCTTTCCTAAGCGTAATAGCACATCAATCAGTCAGTCATGTGCCATGCGTGGTACACACTTAGGCGATCATGTATTTTTCGATACATGATTGACGAGGCAGAACTTTTTTCTCCGCTGTAGGTTACCATTTCTTTCTGCGGTAGTCAATTTGCTATCCAAGGCTATAAAACCATGTCTGTCCTGGGGTGGGGGGAGAGGAAGAGGTTTCAACCTTTCCCGAGGATATTAGCATGTAAGTGAATGTCATGGATTCGACTGGAATTCGAACTCGGCTCTTCGTTTCCTCAATCCGAACCGCTATCCTTAACTCAATCGTGCCTCTTTTTTTGGTTACTGAACAAAAAAGTTGCTTTCCCCAAATGAGTAAAGTGATATAACGTAGAAGAAGAAGAAAAGAAGAAGAAGAAAGAAGAAGGAGAGAAGAAGAAGATGAAGAAGAAGAAGAAAAGAAGAAGAAGAAAAGAAAGAAGAAGAAAAGAAGAAGAAAAAGAAGAAAAGAAGAAGAAGAAGAAGAAGAAAAGAAGAAGAAAGAGAAGAAGAAAAGAAGAAGAAGAGGAAAAGAAGAAGATGAAAAAGAAGAAGAAGAAGAAAAAGATGAAGAAGAAAGAAGAAGAAGAAGAAGAAAGAAAGAAGAAAAGAAGAATAAGAAGAAGAGGAGAAGAAGAAGAAGAAGAAGAAGAAGAAGAAGAAGAAGAAAACGATTTCTAATTTTTTTTTTTCTCTCGTTTTAGTTCGAGCATTTACATTTTTCTTGTTTCTTTTAAAAGCGTTTTGTCAATTTAAATGCGGCCCTTCCTGGAGCGCCTGATTCCTTTTCTTAATGTAATATTGAAGGAAGCGCTTTATTTCATACGGAGAGATTCAGTTTACCCTTCTGTGGTTTCACTAACAACCAGCGTCTTTCCGAGGAATTTCTCAGCTATCGTTTTTGTTTCTTTCGATTTAATTTTAATTTACCCCAGTGTGCCGCTACGCTCCCGAGACTGCCTAGAAAAGCAACAAATTAAATATGATCGCTCGAAAGTAACGGAATAATAACAGAATTTGGTATTTAAAAAATTCCAACAAATTATACGCATTTGTACGGATATAATTCTCAATTTATTCCAGTTTTCCTATCTATCTATCTATCTATCTATCTATCTATCTATCTATCTATCTCAGCCTCTTCCTATCTATCTATCTATCTATCTATCTATCTATCTATCTATCTATCTATCCCATTCTGTTCTATCTATCTATCCATATCTATCTATCTATCTATCTATCTATCTATCCATCATCCATCTATCCCAGCCCCTTCCATCCTATCTATCTATCTATCTATCTATCTATCTATTTATTGCAGTTTTTCATATCTATCTATCTATCTATCAATCTATCTATCTATCTTTCTATATGTCTCTTCATATCTATCTATCTATCTATCTATCTATCTATCTATTATAGTTTTTCATATCTATCTATCTATCTATCTATTTATCTATATGTCTCTTCATATCTATCTATCTATCTATCTATTATAGTTTTTCATATCTATCTATCTATCTATCTATCTATCTATCTATCTCTCTTCATATCTATCTATCTATTGCAATTTTTCATATCTATCTATCTATCTATCTATCTCAGTATCTATCTATCTATCTAGCTATCTATCTATCTATCTATCTTTCTTTCTTTTTTTCTTTCTTTCTATCTATCCATTTATTGCAGTTTTTCATATCTATCTATCTATCAATCTATCTATCTATCTTTCTATTATAGTTTTTCATATCTATCTATCTATCTATCTATCTATCTATCTATCTATCTATCTATATGTCTCTTCATATCTATCTATCTATCTATCTATCTATTATAGTTTTTCATATCTATCTATCTATCTATCTATCTCTCTTCATATCTATCTATCTATTGCAGTTTTTCATATCTATCTATCTATCTATCTCAGTATCTATCTATCTATCTATCTATCTATCTATCTATCTATCTATCTTTCTTTCTTTTTTTCTTTCTTTCTATCTATCCATTTATTGCAGTTTTTCATATCTATCTATCTATCAATCTATCTATCTATCTTTCTATATGTCTCTTCATATCTATCTATCTATCTATCTATCTATCTATCTATCTATCTATCTATCTATTATAGTTTTTCATATCTATCTATCTATCTATCTATCTATCTATTATAGTTTTTCATATCTATCTATCTATCTATCTATCTATCTATCTATCTATTATAGTTTTTCATATCTATCTATCTATCTATCTATCTATCTATCTATTGCAGTTTTTCATATCTATCTATCTATCTATCTCAGTATCTATCTATCTATCTATCTTTCTTTCTTTTTTTCTTTCTTTCTATCTATCCATTTATTGCAGTTTTTCATATCTATCTATCTATCAATCTATCTATCTATCTATCTATCTATCTATCAATCTATCTATCTATCTTTCTATATGTCTCTTCATATCTATCTATCTATCTATCTATCTATTATAGTTTTTCATATCTATCTATCGATGTTCATTTCTGTCTGTCTTTTTCTATCTCTGTATGTTCTTTTTTCTGTCTGTCTGTATGTCCTTACCTCTCTCTCTCCCCGTCTCCCCTCTCTATCTCCACCTCTCTCTTCCTCCCCTCTCCCCCTCTCTTCCTCTCTCTCTCTCTCTCCCCTTCTCTCCTTCTTTATCTCAGTCTGTTCATACCTGTCTGAGTTTGTTAATATGTATCTGTCTCGCTATCTATCTAACTTCTTCAGTAAATACCAGTTTAAATATTACTTGATTTCCTAGAGACTCCCCTCTTAGCGCACAAATAATAGTGTTGGCAGGTGGTGGAGCACTTATTATCTACTGTGCCGACTTCGAGAGAACTTTTTTTTTTCCACCAGACCGGTGAAGCGTCGTCAAATGTCAAAGCACATTCTAATCTTTGTGTTTGTAATCGGCCATTTTCTTCTCCTAACGAGACAAACCTGACAAGCATTGACATGAAAAGACAGAATTGAATTTCCAAAGCTGAAATTCTCCCAACCATTTTTCTTTTCTTTTTTTTTTTTTCATTTTCTCCCCAACTTTCTATTTTGCCACGAAGCGTACATGTCAGGAGATGACATTTGCATTTTAAAAAATTATTAGCCTTAAGGCTGAAGTCCTATCATGGAAAAAAAAAGAAAGAAAAAAACAAAAAACAAAGAAATAATGTTTGCGTCCTTCTGTAGGGCAAGTGTTTTGCCATAAATGAAAAGAACCGTTTGAGACAATAATTATAAGAAGATTAATCAGAGAGTTTCCTAATGAGGAGTTATCATTATTTCTATTATTTACATTCGGACTATTATCCTCATCTCTGTTGTTATTTCAATGTAAATATTTTTGTTTGGTTTTGTTATATTTTAATTACCGTAATTCCCCATATATAATAAACCTTCATCCATAATACGCGCATCGAAAATTGTGCTGAAAGTGTGGGCAAATGCTTCTATTCATGAATAATACGCACATCTTGTTTGGTAATCAAACCCAATAAATTCTTATCTAAAATGGTTTTAAACATACGTAGAATAGTATAATATTATTTTAATTTAATTTTATCATCATTTTTATTTTATTTTATGGCAATTTTTTAAAGATATTTTCTAGCTCTGCATAATACGCACCCCTGATTTTGATTATAATTTTTTAGAATAAAATGCGTATTATACATAGGGAATTACGGTAATTTTTTTCCCGACTAACGTTAGATATCCCTGTTATTATTTCACTAAAAAGTAACGTAATAATACTATTTTCCTCATCATTGTGGCTATTAACATCGGATCATCTTCAATCTGAATATTTGGATGAGGAATTAGTATTATTCACATTCGAATTACTTTCTTCATCTCTGTTGTTGTTATTCCATAAACACCTTCTGTCTGAATTTCTGGGATGAGGAGTTATTATTTCCATTCGGACTACTGTTGTTATTATCATCTGATCGCCTTCTGTCTGAATTTCTAGTATAAGGTTTATTGCATCCCATACAGCTTTGATTTTGAAAAATGTAAATGCAATGGCAAACTTTACCTTCTGTCTTCTTAATTTCTTTTCTTATATTTCTCTCTTCTCGTTTTTTTTCTCATATACTTTCACAATCGATAACTCCTTGCATCTTAGTGGCTTTATTGCCTTGTTTGGGGTGAAATGGTTAAACGTATATATAAAATAAGATAGATGGTCCAAAGGAAATAAATTAAATAAATATTATATTTAATCCAATTAATACTGGGAAGTGTTTTAACAGATGACGGAAAGTGCGATACTGAAATCCGCAGGCACATTGGGATAGGCGAAGATGCCTCCCAGAAGCTAAGCAAAGTATTAAGAAACGGGAAAAAATCATTAGAAACAAAGAAAAGAATGCAAAACTTCTACGTAAGATAAAACTTCTTAATATGGTAGGGAATGGTGGACAATTACCTCGGAGGAAGAGTATAACTGAAGCAACTGAGATTTGCCTCTACAGAAGGCTGCTGAGAATACCATGGACGGAAAATGTGAGCAGAGAGGACGTTTTAAGGAAAATGAGAACAAAAAAAAATAATCAGAAAGAGAATATTGAAATTCCACCCACCGGTAGCCATGGGGCTCCCTGCTTGAGAAACGCTAAGTGAACTTGTGGATAGCTTTAAAATTAGCCTTCTGACAATCACTGGCACCTTGTTAAACTTTCATAACCTTCACTTAGTTTGGCAGAAGGCCATCAAAGAGGAGCACTTGCTATAGATTGAGATTCTTACGCAAGCGAATGGTGTCTGAGATGAGTATTTTAACGATGAGACCAAAATGCTAGATACAAAAATCAAACATGTACAGAAATGTAAATAACTGGGAAGTGATTTAACAGAGGAGGGAAAGTGCGGCACTGAGTTCCGAAGACGTATTGGAATGGCCAAAGATGCCTTCCTGAAGCTAAGCAGATTATTAAGAGACAGGAAAATTTTCGTTAGAAACAAAAAAAAGAAGGCAGAACTTCTACGTAAGATAAATCTTGTTATATGGCAGGGACTGGTGGACAATTTCCATAGATGAAGAGTATAACTGAAGCAACTGATATTTGGCTCTACAGAAGGCTGCTGAGAATAATATGGACGGAACATGTGAGCAACGAGAACGTTTTAAGGAAAATGAGAACAAAAAATAGACTTAGATTCAGAAAGTGACAATTGAAATTCCTTCCTTGGTAAGCCACGTGTCCCCTGCTGGAGAAATACGAAGTGAACTTGTGAATAGTCTTAAAACTAGTTTCCTGACAATCGCTGCCACCTTGTTAAATTTTCATAAACTTCACTTAAATTGGCAGAAGGCCATTAAAGAGGAGCACTTGCTATAGATTGAGATTCTTACTCAAGCGAATGATGTCTGAGATTAGTAGCTTAACGATGAGAATCAAAATGCAAGATGCAAAAATGAAACAAGTACAGAATTGTAAATAACTAGGAATTGTTTTAAAGGGGGACGGAATGTGTGGCACTGAGATCCGAAGACGTATTGGGATGACCAAAGACGCCTTCCTAAAGCTAAGCAGAGTATTAAGAAACAGGAAAAATTTCGTTAGAAACAAAGAAAAAAGTTTTGAACTGATAAGTGATATATGTTCTCCTATATGGCCGAGAATGCTGGACGATCTCCTCACAGATGTAGAAGAGACTCGAAGCAAAATAAATATGGTTCTACAGAAGGATACTGAGAATACCATGGACTGAATATGTAAGCAATGACGGAGACTTAGAAAAAAATGGAAACAGAAAGGAAGCGTATAATTAACATCAAAAAGAGATAGTTGAAATTTCTAGGGTACATAATGAGGAAAGAGGGCTTAGAAAATCTGATACTCGCGGGACTGATTGAAAGCAAGAGAGACAGAGGAACGCAACCTACCTCGCTTGAGCAAGTGGATGGCGGAACAAGATTTATGAGAAATAACAAAATTCAAAATTTATTCAGAGATAAGAAGGAGGGGAAACTGAGGAGAACCATAATCGCCTACGTCTTGAAGTGACTCGGCACATAAAATATAATCCCACATCCTGAATTTTTTTTATATATTCAGAGTATTTATTATTACGGCATTTCCAGATTAAAGTTACTTTTCGGATGGTAATTTTCTCTTTTGGGAAATGAAGGGATAAATCTTAAAATATATTTAAAAAAAAAAAAAAAAACTTTGACGAAGTTAGAAAATCTGCAGCATTTGAAAGAAATTGTGGAGAGCCATGATCGCCTACGTCATGGAGGGACACAGCATAGTGAAGAAGTAGACAGTATATTCCAAATGTAAAAGTAAACATTTATTTGAATTTCTTAAGTCGTCTAGTGCAGCAGACGACCGCAAATCAAACAGAATCTAAAAGGCGTCACTCCGTTTGGGAGTTTTTTGGGTTTTTTGTTTTTTTTCGAAATATATTTCCAGTTTTGACCTGAGTTGTAGCATGATGAAGGCTCCTGAAAAGAACAAAATGCAATTACGCAATGCGTTTTGAAAGTGATTATAAAAATAAACACATAGATCAGGACTCGTTATGTTTAGACAAAAAATGGCAACATGGCCCAGAGAAAATGACCGAAGGTAGAGGTGTATTTCCGATATGATTAAGCAACGAAAATGAAAGTCTAAAGGACATATTGTCAGAAGACAGAATAATATATGTGTGGTTTCTTGATTGGTGCCCATCGAACAGCAAACGCAATATGAAAAAAAAAAAAAAAGACCAGACAGAAAATCGAGAGATGGGATCGAAAGCTTTGTTGGAAAGAGAGTTCATAGAATAGAACAATTAGAGTTTGTCAGGGAAATTTTGAAAAGCCTTTATCTTGCTGTAAACACATCATGGCTGCTACTGCTTCTGCTGCTATTCAATGTTGGATCCTAAATTGCTTGAAGCAGACGATATTGATCCCCGCCTTTTCAGTAATAGAAATAGTAGTATTTATCACATCACAGCGATTAGATATTTAAATAATTTCTACTTAGTACAGGTTGACAAAGTATTTACAGTGCTTTATAGTTATTCAGTGATCTTGGTTATGATAATGAAAAATGATTCTACTTCACGGGACCCGTTAAAGCAAGGCAAAAGGGTTTTAATTAATGTTTTTGAGTGAAACAAACTGAATTAAATTTCCTAAACAAGCCCAGAAAAATATTAAAAACCCGTCAAATAAATAAACAGCAAATTCTGTCTGTCCTTGTGACCGAAACACCTTTAACTCAGACCACGTTTTTTTTCCATATAGACCTATTATACCTTTTTAAAAATTTGCCTTTCATCTGGTGTTTAAACAGCAGTAAGATTTGTGTCTGGATGAGTAAGGAACAGTTAAAAATTTAAATTTTAAAACAACTGAAAAAAATAAAAACAGTATTTTTTCAACGTTTTCAATTTATATTGAGTTTAAAGCAACACAAGAATTTTGTGAAATACATTTTTTTTGTATTAAAATCAGTTTAAAATATCTCCAAAACTGAAATCATTTTTATTTCTTCAAAATTCCATGGGATCAGTGTTCAAGTGAGAAGTTTCCTGACATGAGGTTTTGAACTTCCACAAAATTTGTGATTTGAAGAACTCAATCTTTAGCTTGAATTGGAAGCTACAAAGAACAGGAAGTTATGGAGAGCCATGATCACCCGCGTTTTAAAAAGGATAAGGCTCACAGAATAAAAAGAATTTGTAATGTAGTTGAGCTTTGAAGAGACAGTTGAAATTTCTAGATCCTATAACGAGGAAAGAGGGCTTAGCAAATTTGAC